AGAGTGATGGAGGTGTTGCCCTCTATGTTAAGAAATGGATAGAAAGAGATATCCCTGAAAAAAAGCCAAGAGCAAGTCGAAAGCTTATGGGAAGGTTTAAGAAAGTGTACTCCCCCCTCCCCAATGAGCAAGAGCAGCGAGCTAGTAGCAACAAAGGAGGAGAAGGCTGAGGTTCTCAGCAACTTTTTTGCCTCAGCATTCACTGGCAACCTCTCTCCTCACACCTCTGGAGTTGAAGGATTGCGAGATGCGGACCAGGGGGACAAAGTCGCTGCCACTGTAAGTGAAGATCAGGTTTGTGACCTCCTGAGGAACCTGTGCATGCACAAGTCTATGGGACCTGATGAGACACATCCCAGAGTCCTGAGGGAATTGGCTGATGTAGTTGCCAAGCCACTCTCCATGATGTTTCACCTGACAGTCAAGTGAAGTCTCTGTTGACTGGGAGAAGGGAAACATTGCACTCATTTTTGAAAAGGGTAGAAAGGAGGACCCCGGGGGACTACCGACCTGTCAGCCTCACCTCTGTACCTGGGAAGATCATGGAACAGACCTGCCTAGAAGCTCTGCTAATGCACACAGAGGACAGGGAAGTGATTCAAGACACTCAGCATGGCTTTACTCTAAGGGCAAGTCCTGCCTGAGCAACCTAATGTCTTTCTGCAATAGCATGACTATATCAGTAAACAAGGGAAGAGCAATGGATGTCATCTTTCTGGACTTCTGCAAGGCCTTTGACACAGTTCCCCACAACATCCTTCTCTCTAAGATGGAGACATATAGCTCTGATGGGTGAACTGTTTGATGGATAAGGAATTGGTTGGATGGTTGCATCCATGGGTTAGTGGTCAACGGCTTGATGTCCAGATGAAGACAGGTGTCAAGTGGTGTCCTTCAGGGATCTGTATTGGGACCGGTGCTGTTCAGTATCTTCATTATCAATACAGGCTAGGAGTTCATGTGCTAGAGAGCAGCCCCCTGGAAAAGATCTTGGAGGTACAATTGGACGAAAAGCTGGACGTGACTCAACAATGAGCATTTGCAGCCCAGAAAGCCAATTGCATCCTGGACTGCATCAAAATTCTATGATTCTGTGATTCTATGAAAAGAAGCATGGCCAGCAGATAGAGAGAGATGATTCTGCCCCTCTACTCTGCTCTGGTGAGACCTTGGCTGCAGTACTGTGTCCAGCTCTGGAGACCTCAACACAAGAAAGACACAGACCTGTTGCAGCCTGTCCAGAGGAGGGCCACAAAAATGGTCAAAGGACTGGAGCATCTATCCTATGAAGACAGGCTGAGAGAGTTGGAGTTGTTCAGCCTGGAGAAGAGAAGGCTCTGGGGAGAACTTATAGTAGCCGTCCAGTACCTGGGGCCTGCAGGAAAACCGAGAGGGACTGCTTACAAGGGCGTGTAGTGACAGGACAAAGGGCAATGATTTTAAACTAGAGCAGAGTTGGGAAGAATTTCTTTACTATGAAGGTGGTGAAACACTGGCACAGGTTGCCCAGAGAGGTGGTGAATGCTCCATCCTTGGAGATGTTCAGGGTCAGGCTTGATGGGGCTCTGAGTGATCTCTAGTTAAAGATGCCCGTGCTCACTGTGGAAGGGTTAGACTACATGACCTTTAAAGGTACCTTCCAACCCAGTGCATTCCATGATCTATCGCAGCTTTGGACGGATACACACCTGTGCCCTCAGTGAATCTCATTGTTCAATCCCACTGTATGTTCACTGCTTGTGAAGTGGATGGAGTTAAGGATGATGAGAGAATTGCTTCAACCTTCTTCACAAGAACTCAGCTGGGAGAGGAAGGAAAGTTGTATTGATGTTAACGAGAAGGTGAAAGGACTGAACTGCAAAAGGGAAGGGAGGATGAAAGTTGGTAGATAGAGATTGGGGTGGGAGAGGAGATGTGAAGAGGCAGATTAGGAGATGTTTAGGACAAATAATGAGTGTAAGGGAGAAAGAATTCCAGCAAAATTGAGTGACTGCAAGGGACTGATGAGTTTGATGGATAATAAGACCAGGCTGGAGAATATCAAGGAGTAAACTAAGGCTTAGGTGTCAAGAGTCTTGAGGGTCAAGTTGGGACAGTGAGTATTTGGAATTGGAATATGGAAACAAGAGTTGGGAAAGATTGTGCTGATGACCTCAGGACAGCTTCCAGACAAGGCTGTGAGCAACCTTGCTCTATCTGACCCTGCTTTGATCAAAGCGTTGGGCTAGAGACACCAGAGGTGTCTTAAAGCCTCAGCCCTTCTGTAATTCTCCCACCTGTGTGATACACCTGTGGAATACTGTGTCCAGTTTTGGGCTCCCGAATTCAGGAGAGACAGGGACCTACGGGAGAGAGTCCAGCGGAGAGCTACGAGGATGATTAAGGGACTTGAACATCTCTCCTGTGAAGAGAGACTGAGAGAACTGGGCCTGTTTGGCCTTGGAAGGAGATGGCTGACAGGGGACCTTATTAATGTATGTAAGTATCTGAGGGGTGGATGTCAAGAGGAAGGGGACAATCTCTTTTCAGTGGTGCCCAGCACTAGAACAAGAAATAACGGGTTTAAGTTAGAACATAGGAAGTTCCACCTCAACATGGGGAGCAACTTCTTTCCCAGTGAGAGTGACAGAGCACTGGGCAAGGCTGCCCAGGGAGATTGAAGAGTTTCCTTCTCTGGAGACTTTCAAAACCCGCCTGGACGTGTTCCTGTGTCACCTGCCCTAGGGGATCCTGCTCTGGCAGGGAGGTTGGCCTAGACAATCTCTAGAGGTCCCTTCCAACCCCTGACATTCTATGATACCACAAGAGGGACTTGGTAGGGATGGAGGAGGGCAAGCTATCAAGATTTCACTGTTTCAGTGAATTGTTCCATGAACAGCAAAACTTAAGAGTTTTACATGTTTGAGACTTATTTCTTCATAACTGTACTGTTCTGAATCATCCAGAAAATTCTGCTTTACTCTGTATGCCTATGCCCTTTATTCCACCCCTCTGGCAAGGAACATTGTCTTGCCCCAGCTGATGGGGCAGCTGTCTGCTACCCAGCAAGTTTGGATGAAAGCTGTGTTATCACAGTCCTTCCCTCTATAAAACCATAATCAGTCTTGTTTTATGAAAACTGGAAGACATTAGAAAGAAATTGATATTTGAGACCTCTCAGACTCAGTTGACATTGACCAATTGGCTTCAGAGGTAATTTTTGGAGCTCTACAAAAGAACAGGGATGCTGGTAGACCACGTGATATCACAAGCATTACCTTCAATAAATGAAAAATTAGTAGAAGAGTGTCTTGAGACATGAGAAAATTACAGGCACATTCTGTGATGACACAATCTAATTAAGTCAGTAGTGTTGCACCGAGGAAATGCTCTGTTATTGCCTTGCAGATTCCATGTCTGAGCTTTTGGAAAGTAGATAGGCCAGCCTTCTTTTCTCTTAAATAAATACATGCTTTTGAATGTAAAGAAGTGTTTCTGCTGTAGCTTCTCTTCCAGGGGTGAATAACTTTGTTCCACTAGAGTGGTTATGTCCCAGCATCCCTGGCCTGTGCCTGTACATTTCTCTGGTTCATTTTGGAGACTGAACCAGTAAGTTATTACTTGACTGTGTTACTCAGAGCTACTACCTCTCAGGAGCAGTATGTTAAAACTAAAATAATCAAAGTATGTTTTTATTCTTACTTATTATTATTGTTCTTAATCTTTTAATTAAAATGAGCCTCTTGGATACAGCTCATATATTAAGGAACCAATCTACTACCAGTAAGCAAAGGAGTTTCAGCCTATTTATTCTATCACTTTTCACATGTAATTTCACATTTTGGTCCTTCTCTGCTGCACCTGCTTAAGCCAATAAAAATACACAAGACTTAAAACAACTTGTCCGTTTGCAAGCTTATGTTTGAGAAGCGGGTTCTGTAAGTCTGATTTGCCTGATGTAGAAGACAACTGCAAATGATGTTTTGTGCAACATGTGGGTGGCTGAGAAGGAAAGTGGCAAGAGGGCAGAAAAGGATGTTTATCTACTGGTGGAAATGATCAGCAGTCTGGGTCTAGACAATTTTTGCTGTCATTCCCCTGTACTTCTTCATAAATTCACAAGAACAGATGTCAGCAATCGCATCCCCTTTCCGTGTCTTCCTGTTTTGCATTATGCTACGTATGTGTTTAAAAGTTAAAAATCTCAACTTGTCCTTTTATGGCCCAATATTCCGTTTGGTTTCCAGTCTGTTTGTTTTTTGTTGTTAAATTACTGGAACTCTTGTTTGCAACTCATGTTTCAGTTCACAGACATCCTAAAATCTTACATAGTGCTCTGTAGATCAGGGATTTTTTTTGGAAAAAAAATTCCCCCAGATCAGCCTTGGCAGAAATTGTTGTCAATTAACCAGAGCAAACGCAACATTTGCTACCATTTCCTTCCTTTTTCAATCTAAAGCACGTGTGATGAGATGCAGGCTTACAGCTTTGTTTTCAGATCGGTCTTCGGTGAACTTCCACAGATTTCTGTCAAGGTGCTCCCCTTCCTTTCCTTCTTGAAATGCTGGGTGCAGTAGCTGATGGTCAGGGTAGGGCTTCTGTCAGCATGCCTGAGCTTTTGCCAGGGAGCTGTGCTGGGGTGTTCAGGGCTTTTATTTTAACTGACACATCCTCGCATATGGCTTAACAACTCCTGCCATGTTGTCATTTGAATTTAGTATAATGTGCATTTATTACCTTCTCCATCTATGGGTAGGGAAGCAAAAATAGGCAGGCTTTGAGCCAAACTTCATACCATAAATACCGAGATGCCTGAACAGGGCTATTTCAGTGCACCTTGCGGTTCTTAGCTCATTAGGATGAAGTATTTTGTGGTATTTGTCATGTAGGTTTTTGCTCTGACATAGTCTCTTCTTCTCCCATCACTGTTTTCCAAAATGGAGCAAGAACAAGCAAAAAGGCAGCTGCTGTAGTCTGGGGTCAGAAGGGTTGTGGGAAGTGCCTCCTGCTACCATGGAAGAGCTGGTAATAGTCAGCTCTTGGCAGTGATGTAATTTGAAATGAATCCTCTTTATTAAAAGTGGGGCAATAAAGTATTACCTCTCTTCATTTGAGAGCTAGATAGGAGGCTGGAAATTCTAGTTCTGAGAAACTCCATTTTCATAGGTGAAAATCTGCTTGTTTTTTCCTTCCCATGGTAGAGGGTTTAATGCTTTTCTACTGTTTCTTTTAAATTAAATGCTAGTTACGTTTCTTTTAGTGTTCTAGAGTACCACATAATTAAGTATTAGAATACTATTTTTAAAGCTATTGTGGTGTGTTTTGCTTTCATCACAACATGTTATTTGGATCTTCCCGTCTTCTAGGCTATTCCATATGTTGGGACAATACTTGATGGTCTTGTTCCTGGAGAGCTGATTGTCATAAATGGGACTGTTCCTGATGATGCAGACAGGTAGTGGCTACAGAGTCACTTTTTGCATGTTGCTATGTGAACAAGAATGTCATGAATAAAATGTTTCCAGGGGTCCTACTTACAATGTCACACAAAGATTTGATCTAAATCCTTATGACAGTGTCGGAGTGAATATGGGCTTAAGTGGTTAATGAAAGCTTTGTGAAGACAAGTGGAAGATGAACTGATTTTTTGTTTTCTGCTGATCCTCTTTTCTCTCCTTTTCCTTTGCCTGCTTTGACAATGCTTTTTCCTGTCATAGCATATGTCTTCTTGTCTAGAGAGATTTTCTGAGACTAACAAAATTGATAACTGAATGTGTTGCATGAAGGAAATAAACTGGGTAAGGAGGTATGAACTAGTCCATGTGCCTGTTGTGGGGAGGTCTATTCCCTGACTTTGCACAAGGTTCCTGGTTTAACCCCAGCTGGCAACTAAGCATCACACAGCCGCTCACTCACTTCCTGCCACAGTCAACAGAGTTCCTGCCTTCTTTCTTCTTCCCCAGCTTTACATGCCGAGCATGTTGACCTATCCTGTGGGATGTCACTTTGGTCAGTCAAGGTCAGCTGTCTCAGCTCTGTCCCCTCCCACCTCCTTGTGCAGCCCTGGCCAGCTCACTGGTGGGGTGATGTGGGAAGCAGAGGAGGCCTTGACTCTAAATACTGCTCAGCAATAATGGAAACATCCCTGTATTATCACACTAGTTTTGGCATAAACCCAAAACATATTCTCATACTAGCTATGTTGAAGAAAATTAACTCTACCCCAGGCAAAACTGGCACAGAAGCTTCTGTGGTATGGATGATTACCATTAAATACTTAAATATTTTAATTCATTGCAATAAATCGTGGGAGAAGCTTTCACATGTGTAAGAATTGGATTAATATATTTGTTTGGTTTTTTTCTTTATCTGACAATACTCATTGTGTCTGCTAGTTCTGAGGCTCCGCAACAAAACACAAATGTATCAGACTTTTAGGTGATTTCTTGACAGACTGAGATGAATGTGTTTTTTTCTTATTTTTTGATTAGGTTCCAGGTGGACTTACAGTGTGGCAGCAGCACAAAGCCTCGAGCTGATGTGGCATTTCATTTCAACCCCCGCTTCAAATGGTCTAGTTGCATTGTTTGCAACACACTGGAGAGGGAAAAATGGGGCTGGGAGGAGATTACTTATGAGATGCCCTTCCAAAAAGGGAAGCCATTTGAGATTGTCATCATGATTTTAAAGGATAAATTCCAGGTGAGTCTGGATTGATTCTTTATCTGTAGCCAGTTGTCAGGACAATAAAAGAGAGGCATTTTGTATACTTACAATATATAGTTGGAAGCCTTGATTTCTCTGTTACCTTGGTATAATCTAACTACAGAGAAGTTTAGAAGCTTTTCTTTAAAGAGTTGCTAAGAAAATCGGACCTTGAATTTTGCATTGCTTCCGTCTAAGCTGGATGAGTAATGTCCTGCTGTGGCTAATGGCTATTCCACCCTTCCTCTCTTAAGTACAAAGGGGTGACCTTATGCTGAAGCTATTTTGTGACTAGTGTAGGACAGTCCTCTCGGAGGAAACAAGTGAGGTGTATTTGTCTTGCTCTGTTAGGCTGCAATAATAAATTGTATTCAATTGGTAATGACACATTGGTAAATGATCAGACGATAGAAACAAAAGGTGCAAAATGCAAGTTTTAGTGTAGGCAAAAAAAATTCCCTCACAGTGATGGAAAGAGAGACTTAATCATGCATGAGCTGAATTTAGCTCTCAAATTTCTAAGATGTTCCCTGCCTCTGCACTAAACGGGTATGAAACAGAGATGCACTCATAGGATTTGATACATGAGTGGTGTAATGTATGATTGATACAGTTTTCCTATTTTGTTTCCTATCTCTTTAGGTGTCTGTAAACAAGAAACACTTGCTGCTCTACAACCACAGAATTAGCCTTGAAAGAATAGATACTCTTGGAATATATGGCAAAGTACAGATCAAAACCGTAGATTTTGTTTGCAATGTAAGTTACATAGACAGCTGACTTGCTTGATTCCTTTTCTCTGTCTTGTTAAACTACAGAGTAGGTTGTATGGTCAAAGGGAAGTAGAGAAAAGCAGCTACACTGTTTAACATAGGTAACAAGATTTTATTTTTTTTCTGTCCCCTCTGCATTTCAACATGTGAGTCTCATGTGATCCCTGTCTTCCCGTTTCAGCCTTGAGGTTGGGGGCAAAAGGGTGGCAAAGTTTATGGCTTACAAAGTTAATGGGGCAGATGGTGTAAAAGTTGATTGGATACCGGATCTAGGAATGAATTAGACTTTAACTGTTACAGAAGGTCCAGAAGGAACTCTCAGTATTCAGTGCTTCTAAGTGACAAGTTCAGCCACAGCTGTAACTTGTTGCCTGTCCTTCGAATGCCAAGCTCAACTGCAGCTGGAAGTGCTTGTGCATATAATCCTGTTTTTCTTAAATGAAGTTTCTGAATTGTTAAATGAAGTGATAAGTAGTAGTGTATGTATGTTCGTTTCTGGGGGAGAGTGTCCTTCCTTGAAGACAGCCACAGCTGTAACTTGTTGCCTGTCCTTCGAATGCCAAGCTCAACTGCAGCTGGAAGTGCTTGTGCATATAATCCTGTTTTTCTTAAATGAAGTTTCTGAATTGTTAAATGAAGTGATAAGTAGTAGTGTATGTTCGTTTCTGGGGGAGAGTGTCCTTTCTTGAAGACTTTGTGGCTTGATTTGCACTTGAACCAAACTGCAACGAGTTTAAAGTGAAGTCAGTGCTGTGCTCTGTCTCAAATGCCAGCTCTGCTAGAGAAAGTAAACCAACAGGGAGCAGCTGAGCAACATTTCCCTTCTGCAGAAGGAGAGATCCTCCTGCTCTGGGAGAGTGAGACTTTTAGAGCAGAAACAGAAGATGATAAATTCCAGGGAGATACAGAAGGTGAATGCCTTTTCCATTTCCTCCTGCCTCTCACTAAGACAGCCTACCTACTCCTGTGTAATATTCTGGGTCTGTTCTGCCCTGTGTTAACTACATTGTGAGCAAAGCTTGGATCTGTTGCTTCTAAATGTCAGATTTAACTCAGGTCAGCAGACTATTAACTGTGTTGATAGAAGGTCGAGATTTCTGCTTGAATATGTCTACTCCCTGATCATTTGCGAAGCCTACAGGCTTTTGTGGGCCCCATCACTTGGCCTTGGGCATGTTGCCAGAATAATGTCTTGGAGGTCTGATCCTAAGAAGAGCTTGGAGACAAGCAGGTGCTGTAGGTAGGTTTCTGTCCCAAGGACAAAGCAAAACAGAGTAGCTTTAGGCTGTGGTTGCTGATGCTGTGTGCTTTGGGGAAGAAAAGAATGGAGCAGGTTGCTTGTTTCCTTTTTGTCTTTGCTTCTGATACACTCTTCCAAGGAGTGAGATGGAGGTTTATATTGAAATAAATCAGGAAAAGGCACAATCTGCCAGGGCTAGGCTGGAATTATGTCTCTGCATGGCCATGTTGCTCATCTGTCCCTCCCATGGGAAAGGATGCAGAGGGCTGCTTAGAATCCCAAGGCCTCCTGTGTGGACCTGCCCTGCTGATATTCCTCCTGGAGTGAGGAAAGCTCAGTGGGTACCCTCAGATGCTAAGGGGTTAACAGTGTTCTCACTGTTAGGTAAAGATTCAGACTGTAATAAGGTGGTCTTTAGAAATCTCAATTTAGCTTCAGCAATTGATCTTCAGGACATTTTCTTGGTTTGCAGGAGTCTGACTATTTTTCTTTACCTTACCCATAGATTTCCATGTTAGTAGTTCACCCTTCAAAGCAGCACAGATCCTTATACAATTCTAAACCTACTTTATGTTAAAGTTCTATGATGTTAGCAATGACATCTAAATATCTCTCTTTCTGCAGTCTTTACAAGGCTCTCAGCCATCATCTGTAGGAATAACAAAGATAAACACAGAAAATGTACGTATTTTTTGTAAAAGGTTGAATTAATCTCCCTGTTGTCTGATAAGTTAGTTCATGTTGTTTTTTTTCTCTTGTAGGGGGAAATGCCGGATGGTTCACAATTTGTAAGTATCTCATATAGACTTGTGGCAAATGTGAAGAATAAAAAAAAAAATCAAAACAAACCCACCTCAGATATTCATGAAAAAACATGCACAGAGCAAGGGAATTGAGAATCTTCTGGGAGAGGATCTTCAGTGAGGTTTTGCACAGAGTAACCCTCTTTGCTGCAGCTAGTAAAAGGGAGGCTATTGGTTAAACAATTTAGAAAATCCAGAGTTAGTCGTCATTTTTTTTGCAAAAAAAAAATCCGTACAGGTGGACAGTGTCCAGACTGGATTAAGGACTGTGCTCAAACTGAAAAGAGATTGAGACCCAGCAATATATACAAATAGAATTTGTGGGGAAAGTGAAGCTGCAGTGATTTTAGTTGCCTTGTCACTTGGCAGTCTGCCTTCTTCAGTCTTTTCGAAACGAAGTAACATACAATATTGGCATTTGGCAAGTGGTGGACTTCAACAAAAAAGGCAAAGTACTTCTCTATTCAGTCCTTTTCCTTCTAACACAGTGGAAAAAAAAAGGCGAATAAAATATTTGCACTGTCTATCATAATGAACTGGTAACAGAATACTTCTAGTACTTATGCAACTGTGGGACTACACACCTAGCATGAGTCTTATTCTTTAAAGGCTAACTGAAGCATTCAGAGAAGAGATGTTGGGCTGTCTGTGACTGAAAAAATATGTGATACAAATTTAAGTTAGTGCAGAGGGTTTTGTGATTATTTCTTTTCCTCTCCTTCTTCCTCTCCTTCCACCATTAATGGTGGCAGACGTAGTTGTAAATAATGTTTATATTGAATGCGCGATGATGGTCTAAGGAAAAAAAACTAACACATTAATATGTTTATCTTAGTGTAACTTTTCCATTGTAGTATTGGTATCCTAAAACATATTAGTAGGAATAATTTCAACTCTAAGTCCAGACTCACAATTGTAGGCCAGATTTCTTCCTGCTATAGTAAAGCTCAACTCGTATGTTGAAAAAAATAATTCACAATCGAAATTTTTACTGGTGATGTACTTTTAGGGACTTCCTTACGTTGGGAAGCTTGATAAAGCACTTCGTCCAGGAAGCACAGTTGCCATTAAAGGAGAAGTGGATAAAAACCCAAAGAGGTAAATGTAACTGAATTTTTCCTACTGTTAACTGATCTGGCTTTTTCATTGCCTCAGTATATCCTCACCTGCAACTTTGCATCTGGAATTGTCTGAAACTACAGTGTAGTTTTCTCAGGAACCTGCAGGATACCGCTATAGAGAGGACTTAAAAGAAATGCTCCATTGTGAAAAGTGAAAGTAAAACCCGAGTGTCTTACCCATCATTCACAAGATTGTGTGTCTGCTCGGGGTTTCCATTGTGCAAGGCAGGTGAACACACATATACAAACCCAGATTTTTTTGTCTAGAGAGATCCAAGAGTAAGGGAACTGGCAGAATTAGGTGGAAAACGAGTGAGTTAGATGGGTAGCTGGTGTGCTCAATCGCTGCATGTTAGTGTTTCTCTGAATACTTCTTGGATGGCCACCAGGGGGACTATGTAAGCACGAACACGCCCAGCTGACAACAACAGACAGAGGGAAGCTGGTGGGGCAGTGTGAGCTCTAATTTTGAGAGCAAATTAGGAACAACAGGTTGCAAAGAAGACATTTTTCCAGCATGATTTAAAGAGTGGAGGAGGGGCAAATGGAACTGAGGAAATGTCTGTGCTTCATCATGTCCTTTGCTTGAAGGGTGATTTTGGCTCTGCAGAAACATGCCTAAAAATGAAGCAATTAGTGCAAATGATGAGAAGCATGTTCTTTACAGCATGTGTTTGTGTTGCACTTCTGCTTCCTCAGAGCACATGTCTTCCCTGCAGCTGAACAGCACTCGGAGTTCATATTAATACTGGAACGCAAGGTCTAGAGATATCATTGACAAAGTTTGAATGGACTTTGAATGGAACAGGATAATTAATACTTAGAAAGTAGAATTTGTTTTCCTTCTTTTGGTGTGAAAAGCTTAATAGCACATTTCAAGTACTGAATGTACTACTTATAAGTGTGAAGAGGCTTTTGGGTGTTAGTTAAAGCATTGCAGGTTATCTACTCTTTGTGCTTTTAAAAGTATAGAGTTTTAGAGAGTTTGTAAGTTATTTAAATGTCTTGCAGTTCACATGGTTGTAGTAGTTCCTTTTTCTCTGTGAAAACGGACTTCACAGCTTGGAAGTATGGCTCTTGCTATATTTGGTATCTTGATTAAGCAATTCTAGGCTTCTCAAAGGAGGGAGGGAAATGAAATGACAGCTGAAGCTAATTTGGCGAGAGGATTGTTTCTTCTTCAGATGCAGCGAGGTCTGCCACGGGTTGAAGCATTCATTTGAATTTGGATGACTCTTCCCCCTGATCACTCCTTCAGAGCCCCCCTTTAGGAACCCTGTATCGTGGATGCGTTGGAGATTGCAGAGTGTTCATTCAGTCTGGGCTGCCTACAGAGTAGCACATGGTGGGCTAAGTGTCCTACTGATCTTAAATGTAGGGAGAGAATCCCCAAACTTTTCCTTAGAGTCTAACCTGCTTGTTGGCAGGAAGAATATCATGTCTTGAGGTAAAACAAAGCCTTGCACTCTCCACTGCCTGAGTTAAGAGAAAGAGATGGTGGAGCAAGTAGTACCGTGTATTTCTGTGAGAATGCTGCTTCCTAGCACGGTTGGGGAGCAGCACTTGGCCCACTTGGCTCAATACCTCCTTGCAGAGACGGGACCAGAACTCTGCAGGTGATGAAGCAGATCTAGCAGGGTCATGTCTTACATTTGCTGCCTCCAGCAAAGGTTTGTGTGCAAAGGAGATAAATGTATGTTAACTGCCCGTTTGGTTCTTCGGATGAATCATGGCCCTGGCTCCACAACAGTTCTGAGTATTGACTGAGGCCTTGGTAAATAGTATGGACTACTGCATCTTGTTTATAAACCCTTGGTATAGTAAACTTCTAAAAAATGTCTTCCAGCTTTGCAATAAATCTGAAATCGAGTGGCTCAAAGGACATTGCATTACATCTGAATCCCCGCATTAAAAATAAAGTTTTTGTAAGAAACTCATACCTTCATGACAGCTGGGGAGAAGAAGAAAAAGGAGTTGCCAACTTCCCTTTCAGTCCAGGGATGTACTTTGAGGTAAGATTAACTGAAACATAGCATCAAACTAGTAATTCTGCCTAAAGGATTAGCAGTGGTGCTTAGATATCATGTCACTAATACAGATTTATATAAAACTGCATTGTAGTGTCTTGAGAATATTTAGGATTAAATGGGACTATAGGGAACAGAAATTTGACTCTGTTTTAATGACAGGGTTTTTTTTAAATAGTTGCAAGAATTCAGTCTGTGCTCAGAATTAGTTTTAACTGAATTGTGTGATCCTTATGGGTCCCTTCCAACTTGAGTTACTCTATGGTTTTGTGTATTTTATTTAAGTGCCACTTTTAAAATCTTTCTTTTACATGGAACTTTCTTTGTAATAGAAGCAGGACTTAGATGTCTAAGTCTAGGCTAGATCATTAGGTAGTTTTTCATATCTAACCCTCAACACCTGAGCTTAAAATGTCACTCTTTTTCTTCTTGCTTTTCAGCTGATAATTTACTGTGATGCCCACCAGTTCAAGGTTGCTATTAATGGTGTTCACACTCTGGAGTACAAGCATCGTTTTAAACAACTTGAAAAAATCAACATAGTGGAAATCATGGGAGATATTCAATTGTTAGATGTGAGGAGCTGGTAGTTCTTTTCAATCATTACTTAAAGAATTGAACTTCTCCTGACCGTCTCTCCTTGTCAAGTACAAACACATACTAACTCGTGCTGAGCCCGCCTTTATCTATCTAGGCTTCTGCTTCTCTGAGTTAGGCAAGTACGAGAACTGCTACCTGCGAGATTAAATCCTCCTCTAGTTTACAGTATCCTGGGAAGCTACATAGTGTTTGCTTAGATAAATCTCCCCTATTACTGAACCTATCAATATGAAAATGCTGCATCAAACTGAGTCTAACAATTGCACTTAGTATGGTTAAGTTAACCTACTACTTGGCCTTTGTTGATGGCATGTTGTGAATATTGTGAAGTAGAAACAAGACTGAAATAGGATCTTAAGATATAGTTATCCACCCCAAAAGGGACATTGATAGTTCATTTATAATTGTAAAATATACTCTTCTGCTTCTTAGTTTACACTAACAACTGTAACCTTTTTACTGAGGCTGCATTAAGCAGTTGACCCATTAGTTCTAACAAAAGGCAAAGGAAGAATTTGATCTTCTTAGCCTGCTGCTGCAGTAGTACCTTCTGCTTATAAATGGCATAAATCATACAGCAGCATTCCTAGCCTTCAGTTTTCCAAAGGAAAAGGAGTTAGCTGGCTCCAATTGCATGAACTTTTGAAAGCTTGCTTCATCTAAAATGGCTCCTAAGCAAGTGGAGATTGCTCAGGGACTGGAGTACATGTGTGTGCTTTTTTGGTTTCTAGCGAAGTGTGAAACCAAGTACTCCAAGCAGGGTTACAGGTGAAATGGGAGTTGGATACTCAGTGCAATAGAGAATGAATCCTTTTCAGTCTTATATTAAAATACTGTCTGTCTGAAACAAGCTGTTCCTACTCAATCAGTTTTCCATACAAATGGCAGTCTTAATTTTTATACTCTTTTAACATATAAGTTGCTACTAGCTGTCAATATGTGCCTGGAAGTGTTCCTATGTATCTTAACAGCTGCTAAAAGAATGGAGCAATTTCAAGAATAAGATGTACTCTAAAACTGTTTACGATAAATTACCAGATTTAATGTATAAAAAGCATGGATAAAAACATTTGTGAACTCTGCTTTTTTCCAAGTGTAGCTATTACCCCTTTTTGGTCTATATTCTTGCCTCATTTTGCTTATTATCTTACCAGTATCTCCAAGGTGGCATAGTCATCCTGACTGGAGGACCATTTCCACATCGAAGAGTTAAGTGATTCAGAGTTCAGCTGAGCCAGGACTTGGCTGTGCCAGTGCAGCCCTCAGGGCAGCGTTGTGCTGGACATACCCCTTGGCTGACTCTAAGACACACGTATGTGTCCTTGCCTGTATTTAAGAGGTCAGCCAGAGGTTCTTACATGAATGTTGTTTTTGTTTTACAGCAGGCATGATTAACAGTTTTCTTTAAGAAAATCCTTTAAGAGCACGAATGACCATGATAGGGTGACTTTTCCACAGATGGGATCTGCACCCCAGACGCCCCTTCCCATCACCTGATGGCACGTAAGATTATCTTCTTTGTAGTGTTAGTTCTAACTAACATCTTAAACTGCACTTTACAGAGTCTGAGCACCTTTCTTGCTTGCCTCTTGCTGCAAAAAAGGTGGTGAATTTTCTGGTAAATTCGTTAACAGAACAAGCAATTTATTCTTGCTCTTCAGGTGCATAAGAAGCTAAGCACCAGTCTTTAAAGACCAAAAGCTAGTTTTAGCTCTTATATGGAATCCTAGTTTCTTGTAACTTTATTTTTAAAGTCATCTGCACGTTTACTTTTTACTTCCCTAAAAATGATAGAAAAGCAGATTCTCAGGACTGCAGTACATGGGTGCACTGAGAACCATGCTACATTGTTGCATGATAGCCCCTCTGCAGGGGCAGCAACTATGTACCCAAAGCACAGTGGAATTCAGTGAATCTCAGCTATTGTCACTCTGTTTGTGCCCAGCTATCAGAATTTGCTTATAGCTTGCTCCAGTCTCTCACTGCGAAGAAAAGACCAGTTACAGAAAAGTCATACACAAAGTTCCCAGACCATCCAGAAACGATAAAGCCAGTTTCTTATAATATTTTATTAAAAAGTTAGCTCTGATAAAAATTAGTGACAGTTTGCCTGTAACATTTGCACAAGTGAAGCTATCATGATTCAAACAAAATTTGAAAACAAAGGGGATAAACTTAGAAGTAGCTTTGGAGTGGTTCTCCTAAAATTACTTCCAGTTGTTGAATTGTCTTCTGACACTGTTGTTCAACTTCCTCACATTCATCTGGAAAAAGAAATAAAGTAGGAATTTAGCAAATAGAGGTTACAGAAGTACCCTAGGAAGGCTTTATCATGTATCAAGGCGACAACTGTCTCCAAACACCAAGTATGAAATAATTATTCAGAAATACTTTGGCACTGACTTGGGACTTGGCTTACTTCTACTGATCTAAAACATGTAACTGGTGACGTGCACAGGCAATAACACTAAAGAAGCTACAATAAGTTAAGTGAACTTTAGGAGTGTGTTGGATATAATCCATTTCCATTTGCATCCTGCACAGTTTAAGCCACCATATATCAGTTCACAATATTTGTACCGGTTACAGCAATCCCCCCGTCTGAATCTTTGAAATTAAGTGGTCCTTATTCTTTTTTGGTCATAGGCCAGTGGTGTGCCTTCACTAATGCGACTTTACAACATTACCTTCCATGAGCTCAGCTAAGAACGGAACAGATTCTGGTAGCAGGACCAGGTAGTTCTCCTTCAGTTTTTGTGCAACTTCCACCAAAGCAAGCAGAGCAGCAAATCGGACCTAAGTAAGGAAACCAACATTACAGTACAGCTCCCTGTTTCTCCCCTTTCCTCTCCTTGCCCCACCTTCTTTCCATACAAGTTTTTAAGCTAGCTTTCCCTACTGAAAGGAAGTAGTTTTAAACCAATTTAAATCTCAACATCTGGGTTATGATAATGTCAAAGGAAAAATAAATTGAGAGAAGGTGGTACACTGCTGGAAGTTATTTGATATAATGGTCTTTAACTTCCTGTTATAATGCCACCCTGTTCCACTCTATCAAAAGGACCTTAGCGTTGTTAGCTCAGTACAATAAAAAACAAGTACCCCCTGAATATATATAATCTGTGAAATAGCAGAATCTTGACAGAAGTCTATACAATAAACAGGTCTGAAGATTGACAAATAACTTTCAGTTCCCGCTCTGCAGTGCCTCTTTCTTCATACACAAACATGCTAGCTCTTATTCCAACAGCTACCAAATCTTTAAAAACCGCAAACCACGCAGTATGGAAGACATCCACACACGGAATAGTGACTACTTACTGTAAGAGCTAAAGCCCATGTTGCATGCATCTCTCCCTGACTTGGAGTAGCGTAGTACAGTATCAATCTGTTAGTTTAGGCTAGTATTTTAGCAATTACTTGGACAATCTACTTTGGGTTTTGGCGCACTGTTACCATTTTCTAGAACAGAAACAACCTATAGCTCCCAACCTTAGGAGAGGTGTGCCTCATTTTCAGCAGAATTTGGTAGTTCAGTGGTTTCCAAAGAGAATCATCTGCCATTGCCACCGAAAACTGAGCTATGCAGGGTATTTTTTTCTTTCCTGGAACTTCTCATCTCCTCCAAGCATATTTTCTAGCTGTGGAAGTAAAAAAACCACAACTCATCATTCAGATCTAGGCTCAGATAAACCCAGCTACAAGCACTTCTAGCTTTGGCTTTCAGGTACTCAAGAATTACATCAAAGAGCATTGATAGAAATGCACTGGTCCGCAAGAGCTCACCAACATGCATGACCCTTATGGAATATTGATGTTTCATAACTCAGAGCATTAGGCAAAGCAGTCAATACTGTCTGTAGCCCAAAGACAATGAACTAATTCCTCTCTTGTTGTTAAGGGATTGAGGCTTGACAGTTAAAATATCTTTCAAATGGGAAAAAAAAAAATCAGCTATGACTTGTTTTTGTTGTGTTTGTCAGTACCTGATCGACTAGAGGCATCATCAAGGTTTCTGCTCTTTCCTTACTGAGGAACTTCTGGGTGTCAAACAAGAAGAGTTTGTGCAGACAGCCCATGGTCAACTGCAACAGCAGACAGCTCTTTTCTGTGCTATTCTCAGAGTCAAAGAAAGCTTCATCTACATATCGATCAAGGAAAAGAACAAAGAAAAAACATCCAAAAAACGAAAATACAAAGCTCCTCCACAAGATGGAAATTTAGTTATAGTTTGTGTAGCAGGTACTACATAGACATCACGTACTCATCACTCAGAACAATAAAGTGGATGCAATAAGTTACCTGGCTTTTAGCTAACTCCCTAACAGGTTTACCACTGCCATTCACAGTCAGCTGGGGATAAAAGAGAACAGCCACAGGCTATAGGAAAAGTGCTTGGCCCACAGACATGGCGAGTTTCTTCACGTCACTACAAATGAGACAGGCAAATACCTTCTGCATACAAACAAGTACTACCTCTATTTTCACCAAGAAAGCAGAAGAGTCTGAATTTACCAGGTGGCATGTAAGAGAAGTCAATGGATGAAAAAGAGGGAAAAAAACCCAAAGGGAAACAAGTAACTTTCTTTCTACACAATTTCATTCTCAGGGAACTCACTGGGGCCAACACTGAAAATATTCATGGTCTCAACTTTGCAACGGCAGCCCAGAGCCCACAGATGAAAAATGTCCTTTAGTTCAATGAGAAGGAGATCAATGAGTGGCACGTGTTGTGAAGTAAACCCTGTAAGACTAAACTTTCAGCCTCTCTGGAGTTATTAAGTAAAAAACTTACCAGTTTTAGAAGTGTTGAGCTGGTTCAGAGTCTCAGCAAATGGCTTTACTAGATGACCAGCAAACAAGGTGAAGAGACCCTTGAGCTTGTCTGCAATGCAATCTGCTATGCGGTGGAACGTCAGCAGTCTGTCTTTTAGGGTAGACTCTGTTTTGGACCAATCAAAGAGCTGAAAGTGAAAGGCAGATTAGCTTTTTCTTGTCTCTGTGCACTGGAAAGTACAAATATGCTGATGCAGAGACGAATTATATTCAAACCTCTTACCTTGAAGAAGAGAGGTCTGAAAGAAGCCTCGGAAAGTTTCATGACCATACTTA